CCTGGGACTAGGTCAGTTCTGCAGAATTCTGCATTCGGATGCAGAATTCTGCGCAGAATTCTGCATTCAGGTGCAGAATTCTGCATTCGGTTGCAGAATTCTGCGCAGAATTCTGCATTCAGGTGCAGAATTCTGCAACCCAAATGCAGAATTCTGCAATCTAAATGCAGAATTCTGCATCCCATATGCAGAATTCTCCATCCAAATGCAAAATATGAAGGGATTTGCAATGCCTTATTTATTTTATGATGTTAGAGAGTGGACTCACACTTGTCCTACATGACATATGTCTTTGCTATCCCTGTGCTGCAAATTTTGCCATTACTGACAGGGCCAGTGTGGGAACCACTGAAACAGAAGAGGCAAGTAGTATAGAGCTTATTCACCACACGTCATCATGACGTCACGACCCCTCATGTCCCGTGCGACGCCATTTTGGGGCTACAGCGCCTACAGCGAGTTTCCAAGCATTGAAATGGCCGACAAACGTTAGGTAAACTGTCCTTTGTCCTATTACACGAAGACTTTACCACCACTCATACCTCTCGTTACTGGAACAAAATAAAATCTGTTGGGATTGACCCGTTTTTGTTGAGTTTTGATCAGTCTGATCGAGACGGCGTCTACCGCCAGCGGAGTCCATTGACGTACGCGACTTAGCTTCGTATTTGGTACTGGGCCGAAGTTTTTACACACAACATCGGTTCAAACCCTCTAAGAGTCTGGAAGCATTGTATCAGGATGTGTAGAGAGTGTTGTGGGACATGCAGTTGCGTGGTGACAAGTACGTTGTAGTCGGGATACGCAAAAGGTCGCTATTTTGGAACAGCCCCGGACTGTGTCTGGATAATAACAAACAAATGCGGGGCCATCGGCCGCCGGCCGCCATCCTCAGTCCGCACTGCCGCGACTGTGGCTGGACAAGGTGAGTGTTACAAGTTGCCAGTGCCCTGTTCTACATGGACATTTACCACAGAGTAAAGGGACAGGTAGCTTCAACAGATTTAACGTGTCCATGGCTATCCACATTGACATCTACAGGGGGCGATCTACAGGCCCCTACGCCAGGGTAAAACACACCGATTTCTGATCAGCAAAAAAAGATATAAGCCGATCTTGAGAACATGAGACGTGGACATGGAGCCAGAACAACCCCAAGGACAATGTTACTAACAAGAAGAGTGTTCAAAACGTAGATTGTGGCCCAAAATGCGCAACTATCGCCAAGAGTTTGCATAGCGTACCATAGCGATAGGCACCATGCTGCACCCCCTAATGGCGGACAATGCTCGCTGCCGGGGGAAGAGTCACGTGACCATCTGTGGTGAATAAGCCCTATACTAGTCTCCTGGCTCTGGGGATTTGAACCTGGAGTCAGATTTTTAACTCCATGAAAAATAGAGGTATTGTTTTTGGCGTGCCTGTCTGTGTGTGTGTGTCTGTCTGTGTGTCTGTGTTTTTGTGTTTCCGCACATTTGTAGCAAGCATAACATTTGAACCTTTGGATGGATGGTGTTGGGTACATGTAGGCAAAGGTCAAGGTCAATTTTGGGCCTCCTGGTGGCTGACCTTGGTACTGCAGCACAACTTCCGTTTTTTGTATCTGTTGTCCTGGACATGCTATGGTCTTGATTTTTGAATGGTGGATAGCTTTTCCTGCCAGTAATAAGTGGTGTGGGTTTGGTCCCCCTAGCAGCCTGTTCTGGAACTACAGGGGGTTTCTGTCGAAACCTTTCAG